GGCTGATTACTCTCGACGCCGCACCTTACATCCCGATAAATTCCGAGTTTGCATGAAGTAAATTCCGAGCAACTTGCACATGGTTCTTGTAGTGAATGTCAAAAGTAAATATACACCACACAACCTCACACGGAGATATATATCGACAGTTGTAAAAAAAAATTATTTCATCAACTTCAGTCGAACCACCCGCAGCATCACTTGAATGGTCAATAGTTGCAGTGACACGATCATTACCCTTGTTGATGTACTAGAAAAGATATTTGATCGATCTAAACTGGTTGCACCATTCAACATTAATGTGAGCTTCATACCTCTTTTGTAAAAGAGGACTGTGGGGGACGACATATCCTGTTGTCTAATAGAACACCATTTTTATCGATAGAGATATCGTTGCATCTTCTTTTATACATTGGAAACCCATCATCATCCACTGTGGTTCTACCAGCACATCCCTTGGGAAAAAGCTTTGAACATTTTTCATTCTTCATGCAAACTTTATCGATACCGCCAGAAGCGCATGGACCATAATCATGTGATTTGATACCAATTCGTACAGCTTAGGATATAGTAGTTTATCGGGTATCTCAGCAGAAATAATATGATCAACATCATCTGGTGTTGGTATCTTGTTATCGCGGTGAAGAAATACATGAATGTGTCCATGTGGTAAACCATGTTTATGAAACTCCACAGTATAAACAACTTTAACATAAGTTGAGAGTTGTTAAACATTATATATTATGCATGGTGATACAAAAAATAACTACAGCTACAACAACAACAACAACAACAACAACAACAACAACAATAATAATAATAATAATTCAGATCTTGGAGATTAATGAACAAACAAAATTACCAATAGAATTACCTACTCGAGTTTTGCCAAAAATTTTGTTGTCTTTAATGTCCTTAATTAGTGGATCAAGCTTAATCTTGAACACCCGACAAACAATGTTCGGCCTATCTTCAGGCCTCAAACCTCGGACGGTGAGAAATCTTGTAATTTTTGGCCACTTAGGATTGCAAGTCATTGTAATAAATTAATCGGGATAACCAAACCACTTGCAAAGTGCCATAGCATCATGATAGTTCTGGCTCATACACCTGTCAGCTCCCGTAAAAGATTTCGGCATAAATATTCTCTGACCAACAGTAGATGAATCTGTTTCACCTCTTGAGATAGCATCTTGTAGTTTGTTAAACTTTTCAGATCTCAGAGAAGGTTGATTAAAACGAATGTAATTAAGCCTGGAAGATTCAACCATAGTGTATCCATTCACCAAGAATTGTTGAAATAAACGCCGACCATAAAGAAGTGAGTTCCACTCATTATCTCGTTTTTGTATACGAAATGCAAATAACTCCCGCTGAGTTAGTTTGTCTCTTTTCTTTGCATTGATGATGGAAGCTTCACTATGACTAATCCTAGCTCTGAATCCATCTTCTCCATATGGAAATAACAATGGATATTGTAAAGGAAGATATGACGGATGCAACTCATCTATTCTTTTTAATTTTCCAGAATGTGCTCAATAATGATATCTCGACGCTGAAAGGAATCGTCAAAATCACCATTGCTACTTCATGGACTGTGGGGAGATTATAAACTCTACCATCAGTTTCTCTTCCACCAATAAGCCTGAGTTTAAGATTGTTGGAACAGCCGGATTGAAAACGATCCCTGACAAATCTAAAGGACTTGACCAAGGGGTTGTGTTGATCAAGCATCCTCATTATACCGTTGATTACTTCAGTGTCTAGATTGCATTGGTTTCTTCTAGATTGAGAACTGACAATTGATAAAATAAAATTATAAAAATTTTATGTGAGAAATAGTACAATGCATAATTTATTGTGTATTTGAATATAATGAAGTATGTACCTTATAGCATTCATTTTGTTGTCCACCTCATTTTCAGTGTCATATATATACAACTAAGAAAACTTGGGTGCAGCTTTAGATACTGGCAGTAAACTCCCTATTTTATGGTAGTTAGCCCCCTTTAGCTTGAAAACATAAGGTGCATTGCCATTGTTATTGGATTCATCAACTTGTCCTCCAATTGATGTGAAGCTGAAGATGCTATTGTACGCTCGAATATTATCAAGGAACTTATGGCTCCACTGATCTTGACATGTGAGTAGATTTCTCAGTGGTGGAGGTGGTGGATGAAGCAATGGTAATTGCACTTTTCCTTTTTCACAACAAAGAGAAAACAATGGATTTTTCGGTTTTTCACTTTTCTTAGCACGTTCTTCATGCCACAAAATTGCATGACAAAATGAGCATTTAAAGTTAGATCTCCAATATCTTAATATCCTGAATGAAATAACAAAAAATATTTTTTTAATAAACATTGTATATGTATAATGCAATAGATTTAGAAAAATAATGAAATATAATTACTCAAGTATTTTTTTAATAAACATTGTATATGTATAATGCAATAGATTTAGAAAAATAATGAAATATAATTACTCAAGTCTACATTAGAAGGTTAAACTTCTCAAACATAACCTATAAGACAACTTCAATTAAAAAAAAAAAACTATTAATGAAAAATTATTACCGTGAACTGAGTCCAAAGATGATTCAGTAATGCTATCATCGTCACCGAGGTTTAGTGTCCGAGCAACAAAAGACAAAATAGTTTTCTGTAGCCTTTGTCGTTTGTTCGTTGGCATAGAATGTAATACACTATTATCACCTAATCAAAATAGTAGCGGTCAACTAATGTTGTGATTAATGTATAAATTACGAACTTAATAGAATAATATTGTATGGTTATATCTCATTACAAACATTAGTATAATGAGTAAAATATACCACATGAGCTAATTCCCGATGCACGGGTTTGTTGATCTCTGGAACACTGGACACCTACAATGATTCTAAAATTGGTATGACTTATATTAAATGATAAACTTGATATAATACAACTGATATATTTATGCTATATTAACTACACTATGTATAATTTTCACTTATCAACTGAAAATATATTAACGCTAGTACATAAAATTTTTGCAGTTCAATGTTCTAAAGATAATGAAACTTACAATGACTACGATTAGTAATATCTGAAAGTGGGTGTTGAGTTTCTTGAAGGGGTGTCTTGTCTGCAATGAATAATTAAAAAATTAGGTAGACAATTCACATTAAGTAATGTTGGAGTTATTAATAAAAATATATCACATTGGACAAGAGCATATATAATGTAAATTATTTAAAATACATAAATGCATTTTTGTTAATACATAGAGATGTACCTCGTCTAGAATCCAAATAGCGTTTCCTCATCTTTCTTGCATGACTCGACGGATTTTCTAATGTTGAATCTTCTTCAACTATAAATCAAAATTTAGAAAATATACCAACTAAGCTACAATAAAAGGAAAACTTTTATAATATATGTATTCACATACAAAATGAATCTACAATATTTAAAAACTCACATGACAAAATTGGAATATGATCGCTTGGAGAATGAGGAATTCCACGTTTTTCGTTCAGCTTCTCCATTCTAATATGTCTGTTGGTCTTTGTGCTTTCCATATCATTATTTAAGCAACTACATAAACGATTGCAGCATAAGATGAACGATTACTTTGGACCATAAAAATAATGCTACAGTAAGATATTGAATTATAATATGTCTGTTGGTCCTTGTGCTTCCATACTCATTATTTAAGCAACAACATAAACGACAACTACATGAAAGATTGAAGCATAAGATGAAACCTCTTAAAGGTAGAAACAAGAGTCTAAACATGTATCACCACATGTAGATCATTTGAGCTACCAAACATCGTGACTGAAAAACCAAAAAAAAAAAAGTCAAATAAAATTAAGCAACTAAAATTTTTGTGGAATAAATTTAAATCTACCAATATCCATTAAAATTAAAAAATAAAGAAAATAACATGAAACCTTCATCCCTTACTACCTATTGTTAGTCGATCTCCAGAACATGAATTTGAATTGAATTCACCTAGATAAAGTATTAGGTGCATAGATTTATCCCACCATCAAAAGCTTTGTCAAAGACGCTGGGCAATGTGGCGGGTTGCGAGCGGTAGACGATGGAGGGAAACGAAAGAAGGGGGCAATGGGATGAATTTGCAGATACTCTTTAGGCGATTAGGTCGAATTGATGTTAGCCGACAAAGCGCGACGGGTTGCAAGAAGTGTTCTGTTGGAGTCTAATCTCAATTAAGACAGAGAAATTTGAAACGTGCGTCTGGGCAAAGAGTTAAAATTAGGGTTTTCTTTTTTGTTTTTGAGATTAAGTTTATGGTTTAGGATAAAGTAGTATAATTTTTTCATCTGATAGCATGCATAGGGTGAAAAAAAAAACAAAAGGAAAAAAAAAA